TATGTTTGAGACAAATAAATATTATTATTATTATTATACATCAAAGGAGGAACGCTGCCAGTATCTTCGGAATATTACGTAGAGAGACTCCTTTTAATAATATATTTTAGTTATTATATTATATATTTTAAGGTTTTTAATTTTAAGTTCTCTGTTATATAAATAAGTTATGTATATATAGTATGACAATGTAAATTATAATATTTACTCTTAACGACATTTTTATTTTACGTGTAACGAAATATGATGGTATAGTGATATGTACGAATTATTTGACAGTTTCAGTTACAAATTCGGAAACTTTATGACATATAAAAAACTACACTATCGACGTAGTAATAGATTACAAATTATGAAAACATATAAGATTTCTAGAATTTGAAACCCTGCAAAGCCGAGGGATGTTGCTAGTGAATAAATAAATAAGAAATGATAATACTTACATCCACCTATACTGAATAGAAGATGGATTACAATCCCAAGCAAACTAAGGGCGGAAGAAAACTCACAATCTAATGGACAGCGTTCGTATACGAAGCGAATTTCAATGAAGATATTACCAGTGGCACTCAATGAGGAAGTAGCCATTATTATTGCTAAAAGTTGCATATAGATGGCGTGATTGGTATCGATGGAATTCTTCATAGTTTTGCAAACGTTTTAAAAAACAAAACTGTGTTTTCAAAATAGTTTAATCCATTTTTAAAAAAATATATATACATGTTAAAATGAAATAATGCGTTTAGAAAAGTAATTTTCATATATTTACTCATTTTGTTATTTTCCAGTACTTAATTACACTTTAATCAGTGCTAATACGGGGCTCAATGTTTTCAAAATGCTTTCATAGATGGCATTGTTGTCATTTGTATCGGCCTAATTAAATGTCTTTTTTATATTTTCCAATAATAAGCACTTAATATATTATTATTGTAAATTAAACATATAAAAAAAGTTTAAGTAAATTAAAAATAGCCGAACAAGCAAATAATACTATTTCCAATAATACTTATGTATGAAGTGTTGTCATATTAAAAATAAATACATGTATTATCGATTTTTTTTAATAATCGATAACAGGATTTTATTACAGCGCATTATTTGATGATGCTTTTAATGAGTCATTGTGAACAGTAAATTTCATTATTTTGTATTAAGTATAGCAGTATTCCGTTTCAAAGAACGGAATATAGTAGTACATTATTAGTGTCGTTGGTTATTTACATTTGTACTGAAAAATCGATTACATAATAATTTAAAATATCGAGTACGAATCGTAGCTGTCTTCGAATACTGGCAACTGGTAAGATTAAAATAGTTTTAAAAAAAAGAGAGAAATCGACCCTAACTCGAATACCATAAAGTTTATTTTCCTTTCTCATTAATATCATAGCAGTTTGTTTTTAACTTGCGTATGACTCTGTGGTATGATGTTTAACGTGTATTATTGTGTGTTATTGTACGGTGCATACATTTCAAAAATTATATTTTAATGTAGGTACATACATTTCTTTCATACATTTCATACATGTCAAAAATTATCTTTTAATGTAGGTACATACATTTCTTTCATACATTTCATACATGTCAAAAATTATCTTTTAATGTAGGTACATACATTTCTTTCATACATTTCATACATTTCAAAAATGAACTTTTTATGTAGGTACATACATTGTTTTCATACATCTCATACATTTCAAAAATTATATTTTAATGTAGGTACATACATTTCTTTCATACATTTCATACATTTCAAAAATGAACTTTTTATGTAGGTACATACATTTCTTTCATACATTTCATACATGTCAAAAATTATCTTTTAATGTAGGTCCTTACATTTCATACATTTCAAAAATTTCATACAATACATTTCTTTCATACATTTCAAAAATTATCTTTTAATGTAGGTGCATACATTTCACACATTTCAAAAATTTCATACAATACGTTTCTTTCATACATTTCAAAAAGTATTTTTTAATGTAGGTACATAACACCCCATGTCAGACCCCTTATATTTGGAAGAAACTTAAAAATAATGCCAAAAATATTAGATAAATATATTTTTAATACGAATATTGTTTTATTTTTGTTCATCAACTTTATCCCTCATAACAATACTAGTAGTAGTACATAACCTGGTTTATACCGCTAAAGATATTGAAAGATGTACGAGTAATTCAGAATGTTATCAAGTTCAAAATAAGCACACATTACTTGCTTAGATAACAGAGTAATATTACTAGTAATAAAAACATTTGTAATACCCATATGTATACTACGTATGTATAGTAAGTACTTACGCTGCGGCGCCGTGAGACTCGTCTAAGTACTTCATCTACTCATCTACGCGCGGTAACCGCGCCGACCGACCAATAGGATAGCGCCTCTCGTGTTTCCAGAAAGTTTCCGACTAACGGACGATATAGTAGTAAGGCAATGAGTGTCCCAGTGATATCATTATAATATTTTCTCGTTAAATTTTATTGTAATATACACAATTTCGCACTAAATAACGTGTTACCCCGTTACACATTTCTAATAATGAAAAACCTAGACCGACCCTGTTCACTTAATCTTACAAGATCTGACTTTAAAAATTACGATATCCTCATATAGCCTTTCATTTCCCCTTTCAATACTTTTTCGCATTAAAAAGTAGCCTTTCTCAGGGTCTACATTATCTGTCTACCAAATTTCAATTAAATCAGTTCAGTAGTTTTGGCGTGAAAGCGAGACAAACAGACAGACTGAGTTACTTTAGCATTTATAATATTTGTAAGAATATCGCTATTAAAAATAGGGGTTGGTGAAAGACGGGTGAAAATTTAGGCGTGTATGTATTTTCAATGTAACATTATAAATAAATAAAAAATTGTCCATAATACAAAAAAATATTTTTTCGGGGTAGGCCACCCCTATGACTTATGGGTATAAAAAATACTTAGGGGTATAAAAAATAGATAACAACCCTACCTCAGACCTGGGAAGTATACATATCAAATTTCATCAAAATGTGGGAGAAATATGGCAACTAACACTGTGATACAAAATTTATATATAAGATATAGCGGAATTCTCATTAGGTAAAAGCGTAGAATACATGAGGTATATACCAGTAAATTAATTGTAGCTAAAATCAGTCTCATACATATAACGATTGAAATAAAAAATCGTATAGCCCGATTTTGATACGTACGAGTATAAACGTATCAAAATCAGGCTATACGTATATCGCAGACGCGTTACAACATATCAAAAAAAATAGGCATGGAATGTAAAATAAACCATAACACAATAGGTATATACATTGGCACATAAGCGATATCTGCAGAGTGTCGGCTAACGATATTATACCTACACATTTACATTGAATCTTGAATCGTCCCTAATGAGGTACACGATACAGTTACCTACATATCTATTATATACATATCTTTGCAAAACAGATGTCATGTAGACTGAATTCACTGCCATCTATTTTCATGCTTTGTTACTAAGCACCCACTAGTAATCCGAACTGCTTCAGATCTAGCGACATCTAGCGGCTACGGTGGCGAAATAAAATAGCCCGAAGAATAGCCCGAGTTAGGAAGGAACCATTTTCTTGTATGGGATGGGGTATCTGTATGTAATATTATGTTATCTGTGATATTACTATTTCCTGTCCCTACATACATTCTCGTTAACCCGGATGGTTAGTAGAGGTTTTCTACGTTTGCACTGGCCGTTTATTACCAACTATGTCGAAATCCTGAGCGTTTAAGGGTGCTAATTTATGCGAAAACCAGCTGTCGCACGCACTTCACCGCACAGCATCATAAATTAGAAGTTTGTTTGAATGTTGTCAGTGACGGCACGATTACAGCCATAATAACATTTTGCTTATGAAATATCAGTAATATTATCAGAGTTATTCGTGTGAAGTTTAATGAATGAGTTTACGAGTAAAGTAAACAAGGAAAATAATAAAAAATATTATATAGAACATATTAAACGTTAATTTAAAAGTACTAAAAACACCTATGATCAGTAGAGTATAAATGTTATTAAGTACTTCAGTGAACTAATAGGTACATTTAAAATAAACAAATTAATATTACATTTGAAAAATACATACAATAGGTACATTTAAAATAAACAAATTAATATTACATTTGAAAAATACATACATAGAGAAATATCTATTTACAAATGCTTTCGTTATTTGTAAACCACGAATATTCTCTATTACCTACTTGTATATATAGATTTAAAGACATTTTCGTACACATCATGTTACTAAGAAATAACTCTGGTCAACCATTTGAACTAAGCTTAATTTTGTAGTATGCGTACTAAAAAAGTGTAAAGATAAATAATTTTATAAATTTACTATACATATGATTATATGGTCTAAATGATTACTTAGACCATGATATTTTTATAATAATGTATACGGTGGCGAGGGACCACTGGTGGATAACAGAATGAGCATAAAATCTGATCAGATACTACGATGGTTTCCAGCGGAGATAGCGTGAAAGTCGACCTGACATTTTACTTTGCTATCAATGAATTCATAAGGTCAGACAATGGTACAAGACGTATATACATTTACATTATATGAATTCAAAAGTTTGTATATGGGATATGAGTTTTGATCATAATGTTTGACCTTAGACCAGCGAGCTACCGATGCTTTTCGGACTATATAACAATGTAGACTGGTGTTTTAGGTGCTCACGTGAACCGTGTATATTTACATTACATGTATTCAAAAGTTTGTATATGGGATTTGATTATAATGTTTGATGTTAGACCAGCAAGGTACCGATGTTCTTCTGACTATATAACAATGTAGACTGGTGTTGCAGGTGCTCACGTGAACCGTGTATATTTACACTACATGTATTCAAAAGTTTGTATATGGAATTTGATTATAATGTTTGACGTTAGACCAGCAAGGTACCGATGTTCTTCTGACTATATAACAATGTAGACTGGTGTTGCAGGTGCTCACGTGAATCCTGCTGTCTCGGTGGCACTGTGCGTGCGACGTCGAGTGTCACCACTTCGAACTGCTCTGTACGTCGCTGCTCAGTGTGGTGGAGCCATTGCTGGTGCTGCGGCTATATACGGGTGAGTTTTTTATATGTCGCCGACTGACCGCCGCGAACTCGTTTTATACTTTTTTTATTTTATTACATCACAATGACAACGGCAATACAGCTACTATATATGCGTACACTAAAATTTCACTGCCCTATCTCTTCTTTAAACTATATGCTACAGTTATCGGCAAATAATTTGAACAAAATCATCATTAGGATATACTCTATAAAATGACGACCTCGGTGGTCTAGCAGTCTAGCACACCGCTTTACGTCCTATGGTCGCGGGTTCGATTCCTCGCACGACACAAACATTTGTATTCATGAGTATGATTGTTTGTATCGGTCTGGGTATTTTCTATGTATAAAATGTATGTATTTACGAAAAAAATTATCTATGTATTTGTATCAGTTGTCTAGGACCCATAACACAAGCTTTAGCTCGCTTAACTTGGGTCTAAATGGCGCTGTGTGAATTGTCATGAGATTATTATTATTATTTTTTTCTTATTACTTATTATTATTATTATACTATAAAATGAAGTCGTTTCCATTATTTGTTCGTTTAGATCTTTTAAAATACGCAACGGATTTTAATACAATATATTTAACAATAGATAGAGTGATTCTCAAGTGGAATGTTTATAGGTATAATACACCCGCATGAATACGAGTAGATAGTTATTATAAATCATAATTACTAAAATACCGTAGAAGTAGTCTCAAACTGCTTCCACAGTATTTTACCCAACAATAAACTCAACATAAATGTTACGTCATTATTTGTAGAGGATTGAAACTCATATTCAAGTTGGACATAGAGGTATATTAACATCATTATAAATTCAATATTAGTATATACCTATATAAATCCAATACATAGATACATAGACATTTAAGCTAGGTAGGTAGGCATCAGGTAGATTAAGTCGAACGTTTTATTACACTTCTAATATTTCAGGCCATGGTCCCATGTCGACAGGTGACACTGTAATTACATTTTTATATGCAAAGTAATATGATCCGGGATCGTCTGAGCCATTAATTGGGTTCACGATAGAACGCATAAAACATTATTCTTTCGCAAAACATTTTCCAACAAGCTCACCCTCGAGAATACCGCCACGTTCGAATTTCGAATTAATTACAATGCGTTTCGAATAATAAAATGAAAAATTCGTTGCATTTCGTATTTTTGTGTCATTATTTTACGTGCAATGCATGTTATTTTAAGATAATAAATGTCGATATTAAATATGAAATACAAATGCGAGGAGTCCTTTTGGATTAAATCCCAGACATAGAGATTTCAATTTTTTATTTTTGACTTTTCGGTGGTGCCACGCCATAACCGGCCACAAGTTAAAATAATGTAAGAGACATAATTTTGTTTGGGATTACAGTGTTAATTTTTTTTATAAAATATCTTTTCTTCTATCCGTAAATTCTACATCATTTTAAATTTGATGAATCTATCTTATCTTCCATAATAGATCTATGTATTTAAGTAAGTATAGGGGAGATGGAGGTAAGATGGGGTAGTGGGTAAGACGGGGTACCCACCAAAATTTACAGTTCAAATTGATCAATCTCGCTTTTTCAATCATCGTGCGACGCGCCACCATGAGACTTATCAGTCGCCGTGTGTTTAGTGGTTCATAAGTGCACAGTGTCGAAAAAAATGCATAATAAGTGTTTTATTGCAAGTTGCTTATCACATTTTCTTCTGGCTTAACACGTGACTGTGGTTTGTTAAATAACGTTACCTGGTGAGGTGTTGTTGTGATTGATGCTTAAACTAATCTATAAAAAAGTAGGCATTGTGTTCTTTAAATATTATTGACTGTTTTGTTTTTATTTATTTTTTTATATAAAAGGGCTCTGCAGGCAAGATGGGGTAACTGATGAGAATAATTCGGTTCTAGTTTGTTTTCCAAAAAATGAGTTCGTTTTTGTGAGTTTGTCTTTTTAGAATGATTCTACGATTAACGTCGTCGGTCGTGATCCGAAGAATCCATGCGGGAAGCGAAGAGTTCAAGCGGTTTTGGATGAAAAAATGGGTTATAGAGAGAAAAGTTAAGGCTTCCTAAGGAAATTCTCTCGTGTTGCTAAAAAGCGTGGACACACAGCAATTATCACGTCGCCTCCTACAAAAAAGAATTAGAAGTCATCGCCCACAAAAAAAAACAGAGCTGAACAGAAAAACTATAGAAAATAGAAACAAAAAAGAAAAACAGAAGAAAACTACTACAAAAGATCAAAATAAAAAATTAAAGAAGAATAGCCGATCACCGAAAACAGCAAAACAATGAAGAGTTTCAACATCTGATGAAAGTGAAGATGGGGGAACACACCATGTATGTATTGTGATGAAGTTTGTTCCGTTTCCATTGAAGGGTGGATATCATGCTCATTAAGTGGAAGATGGACTCATAATTGCGTTTGATGATGATGATGATGAAGTCATCCATGTCTACGTTTCTGCCAGCTCGAATAATCATTGTTCTACAGAGATCATAGGATCATTCTCATCACCCCATCTTACCTCAACCCCATCTTACCAGCACCATGGGGCAAGACGGGGCAAAACACTTTTTTTTTATTTTATTTTTTTTCTCTCAAATGTGTTACCTAAAGTTCCTAATGACACAAAATATAAGAATAATAATAATTAGTTGTTATTTAAAAAATAAATATGATTGTTTCACTATGTAATTTTTTATATTACAGACCTTTAAAGATTAAGTACCCCATCTTGCCACCACCTCCCCTATGTAGGTTGGTTTTGATGCAATGAATACCTGTTTTTGCTAGAGTTCCCGAACACAACACCACTTCGTACCCTCTGGGGTATTTTATACCCGACCTTCACGAACTTATTACAAATACTGTTAATTATTCATAACTCTAGTCATAAGTAGTTTTCTAACCTAAAATGCGTTTGAAAGCGTCTGTAGTTATATATTTTTTTTATTTTTAGAACAAAAAATTAAAATAAATAATTCACATATTCATATTGCCATCTATTTGTAATTAAGAAGATCTTGTACAATGTATACAAGACGAAATTGTTATACCTATGCTTAAAAATATATTTGTAATGTTCGGGAACCGAACCTACAACGACAAGCGGTAGTGGTGCTAGACCACAGAGGTTGTGAGGAGATATTTATTTAGTTATAGGTATGTAGTAAAAAAATATATTGTAGTAGTGGATAAAAATTGATATCAGTGAATTTATTCTTTACATCAAGCCCATATTTTAGCTGTTATTTCATACTTTAGTCTTGACTTTAAGGTGCAAATTGCATTTTAACAATAGAAAAAAATAGTTGAGAAAAACCAATCAACTAATAGTGTTATTTTAACAATTATCTAATATTATAATATACATACATACATGATTGTCAGAATCGTAGTATTTTAAACAAAATAGACAAATTATTAACCTTTTTTTAATTCAGTACACATAATAATATAGTAAATTAACTATCCTTGAAGTTGATTGAGCAATAACATCTCCCAATTTATTGGTACACCCACGCTTCTTTGGAATTGTACGTATTACATACTTTTATTCCCGATCACGTAGTATGTGGTGGTCCATTCGTGCCATTAGCTTCGGAAAATTGGATACAGAATACAACAATATATTATAGTTATTACTTGATTAGTGGCACTATTAGACAACAAAATCTAATTAATATTATAATAAGAATAATCCACGACAATTCCTACAGCGCTATCTAGTCCCAAGCTAATCAGAGCTTGTTGGTTGATACTAGACAACTAAAACAAAAAAAAAATATTAAAGTATTTCTAATACTCTAATAAATACATCAAAACAACATCAAAAACATCCCGACCGATACAAACAATCATACTCTTGAATTTTGTATTCAAGATTGTTTGTAGGTACTGGGCGAGCAATCTATACGGTTACTTTAGTATTACTTAAGTATTTAGATAATAATGAATAATAAACGAATGTTTCGGAAACACAAATGAAGTAGAAGAGTCGAAATTAGTTAAAAAAATCAAGATATTTATAAAAAGTACTCCTAATTAAATTACACGATGAAAACACTAACTATACAACTTTTATACTGCTAAAATATACCTACTTAGTTAATATTTATCTTCAGATTTATAAGAAATAAATTGATGCAATAAAAGAACTATGAATAAAAAAAATCTTATGTGAATATATCAGAGAAAAAGTCGTTTGATATGGGCAATGTTTCGAGATATTTGTTTGACTTTGATATCAAAGCTTCATACGTCGATAGATAGGTAATTCTATACAAATATCTCCTGTGGCATCGTGAACAAACAGTTTGACATGTGTACTTTAGATATATTGTGTTGATATCTTTGTAGATGTCAATTTACTTGAAGATATACTTACGTGTCAGTTCAATAGATACGAAGACACGACAAATATCTCTTGATTGGAACTAAAATGGTGGCTGTTTTCTTATTTTTCTGTAAGTAGGTATCTATCGAATATCAAACTGCTAGGATTTTTTATTGTTACTGTTACTGCAGAAATACTTTTTTTAAACGTCTGTGCATTTTTTTTCATAATTTTTATCTTTATTATGTAAATAACTAGAATGACAAACAAGCAGTCTACTTGACGCTGACGGGGCACCAGTGGAGGATGATGAAATGAACATGAGGTTATGTCAGTTAGCCTTCACCGGGAGTTTATCACGATAGTTTTCAAGCAGAACCGCATGGAGGTCGATTTGATATGAAACATTGCTGTGAATGGGGTCATTAGTTCTTAGAGGAGAAACAATCCCCTTTGCCTGCAGTACTGTTGTCTATATACAATAACAATACTATGAACATCGAGTTATCATATCACACCCGTGATATCACATGCGTTGATATTCGAAACTCTGTCATCTCTTATCCTGTAATGCATCTAGGAAGTAATTTAGACGCTATAAAAACTAACATAGGGTCTATGTTGGCATTCGTAGTATGTGCAGTATAATTGCCTGTGACGAATCTACACAA